GGGGTCACGGTCCCCCAAGCCGGTGGCCCAGCAGTGGGTGCCATCCAGGGATGGGTCACCCTCCGCTGTCGGTGGCAGTGATTCCACCAGCTCCGGCACGTGGGAGCTGGTGGCTACTGGGAGGACCCCAGTGAGCTGCTGGGGCACGGTGCGACGCTGGGACCCGCACGGGATTTGGGGTGAGGGGGGGTGAAGCAGCCCTGGGAGCCACCTCAGGGTTGTCCCCCACCAAGGGGGCTTGGGGACAGCGGGGGACGCCGGCGGGTGCCCCGGCGAATGGGAGGGCCATCCAGGGGCAGCAGCTGGGTGCCACGGGAGGAGCTCGGCCAAGGTGGGTGCAGGATCGGGACACGGCCATCCCGGGGTGTCCGTCCCCTCCTCCTGCGCCCGGGGACAGCCCCAGTGCCACACGTGTCCACCAGCACCGCGGGGGGCAGGTGGGGGCGTCCCACCAAGAGGGATGGGAGGAGGGACGCCGTCCCTGGAAGCCAGGAGGTGACCGTGTCCTCGAGCAGGCAGGCAGAGGGTTGTGTCCCCGAGCAGGCAGGTAGTAGTCTTGTCCCCAAGCAAAAAGAGGGGGCTCCTGTCCCCAAGCAGGTGAAAGTGGCTGTGTCCCCAAACAGGCAGAAGGAGACCCTGTCCCCAAAGAGCCAGAAGATGCCCGTGTCCCCAAGCAGAGAGGGATCCTGTCCCCAAGGAGCCAGAAGATGCCAGTGTCCCCAAGCAGAGAGGGATCCTGTCCCCAAGGAGCCAGAAGATGCCCGTGTCCCCAAGCAGAGAGGGATCCTGTCCCCAAGGAGCCAGAAGATGCCCGTGTCCCCAAGCAGAGGGGGATCCTGTCCCCAAGGAGCCAGAAGATGCCCGTGTCCCCAAGCAGAGGGGGATCCTGTCCCCAAGGAGCCAGAAGATGCCAGTGTCCCCAAGCAGGCAGAAATGATCTTGTCCCCAGGGATCCTCTCCCCAGGCAGGTGAAAGCGATCTTGTCCCCAAGGAGCCAGAAGACACCCATGTCCCCAAACAGGCAGAAGAGGCAGAAAGGGTTCCTGTCCCCAAGCAGGCAGAGCCACCAGAGAGCAATGCTGTCCCCGAGCAGAGGGAGCAGAGATGTTGGCAGTGAGCACAAGGTGGCCGGCACACAGGGTGACGATGCCCCGAGGGTGGCAATACCCTGTGAGGTGACAATGTCTCGCAGAGTGACGATGCCGTGTGGGGTTATGATGCCCCACAAGGTGCTGACACCTTGTAGGGTGACAATATCCCATGGGGTGCCGATGCCCCACGGGGTGATGATGCCCCACGAGGTGACGATGTCTTGCAGGGCACCGATGCCCCATAGAACGATGATGTCTCTTGGGGTGACGACGCTCCTTGGGGTGACGAAGCTTCTCAGAGCGGCATCCCCATGGGGTGACAATCAATGCCCAAGGGATGACGACGCCCCAAGGGCCACGTGCCGTGGGGCTGACAGGAGCACGGCCGGCCAGGAACGCCGTTGCTGTGTGTCCGTGGGCAGCTCTGCCCGACGTCCTCTTGGTGGCGGGGCAGAGCTGACCCCGCTCCCAAGGCTGGGTGCCACGTGGCCGGTGCCACGCGGTGTCCCCGTGGGATTGTCCCAGGATGGACGCCGCCTCGCCGACAGCGGAGAACGATGACCGGGGTCTGCCCG